TATAAAAGTTACCGCTCCCAACACCCGGGACCTCTCTCAGAGAGGTCCTTCAACAAATGGAAAGATAATGGCGGAATGGATGAGCCTTTCTTTAAATGGAGGGCTCATCCATACCGGGGTGTTGGGAGACACCGAAGAAAAAACAGCAATCAAAAGGTTGTAAATGTCTTCTTCTATCAGTAGAGATATTTATGACTTTTTAGTTGCTGCTTTTTCTTTGTTTTTTTTTTTTTTAATTTTGTAATTTTTTGTTTCGGTGTTTTTTTTTTAATTTTGTAATTTTTTTTAAATATATATTACGTTGTATATTTGATTTGTTTTGATCTTTTTTAATGAAAATTTTAATTGTTTTCTTACCAATTAAACCTGACTTCAAATTTAAAGCCCTCTTAAATACCCCTCCCTAAAATCTAAAGTCGAAAGTTGAATTGATTCATTATCCAATTATCATAATATAATGATGCTCCATTCTTTTGTTAAAAACAATTATTTGGTATGTTTCATTTATTGAACTCACTGCTTTTAAAATTTACCAAGACCCAAGGCAATTTTAGCTATATAAATACAATTTATCTACCTTGATTCCATTCTTCATCTTTTATGTTTATAGTTTGGCTCCTTGAAGCATTTTATGTTTTGCTTTTTTTATTATGAGTATTTTAAATCCGTTGTGATGTCTTTTGAATTAAACTAAAGTTTACTAAAAGCCAACATAAAAATTACGTTTTTGAACAACACCAAAAAGAACAGCTGCATCCCTACAGCAACTGCTGCAGTATCACAATAGGTTACCAAAAGCAGGTATACTGTTTTCCAGTTGTTGTTTTTTTTTTCATATATATCTACTTATCTATATAATACTATAGTACGATTGTTTATATCTCATTGATTTTTTTTTTCTTTATCTTTAAGTGTTAATAATTTTATTCTTTGAATGAGATTAGTTAAACAAGTCGGCTTTTCATTAAAGATATTGGTTTCAAAATTGTACACCATCGGCAAAATGCTTACAAAATTAGGTAGATTTTAAAAATCTTTTTTCTATTTAATACACTTTTTTTTAAATATACTTTTTAAATATACTTTTTTAATATACTTTTCTATAACAATCCTACTAATATGGAATCACGTAGCTTTTTAAATATGTTTAATTGTCGTCCCTATCGGTAATAAATATTTTAAATTATTTGATATGGTTTTCTTTACAATAGGCTATGCTTGGCTCCTTGGTGCTGTAAATGGTGGCTTCAACTTTGTTTTTTTAAGAAAAATGTGTTTTATATATGCTTCTGTTTTAAAATATTTTTGTTAAATATTTAACTATATATCATGTAAATAAATTTCTTTTAAAGATATGTAAACTTGATACTTGCTTTTTTACGGATTTTCAAAAAGTGAGCAAAGGTTTAAATATATTTTTTAACTGTCTTATATGATTTTATCAATTTTATTAAAGCTGAATAATTACTTCAAAAATATTGAGTAAAATCCAATTGCCTTTATTATTAACCTGATCTATACAAAAATTAATGAAATAAAACTAATAATTTAACGCCAAGTTAAAGCAAAATGTATTCCGGACATTTTATAAAATTAGTATAAATATGGATTGGATGTATGCTGAAATAAATATGTTGATACACGTTAGCTATTAAAGTAAATCCATATATTTCTTTATTGCTTTTTTATAACCAAGTTTCTGCTGGATTACTAATTAAAAAAAAGGTTGGTTTAATAATAATCTTTATCATAATAATATAGGATCCATATGCAGGGCTAAGCCCTTTTTGGAATTGCGATATATTTTTCAACTTATAGTTTTTCCAGATATCCAACTTCTATGCCTACAAGTTTGGGTGTAATATTTTAGATGTTTTAAAAATATTTAAAAAGTATATTAATAACATTAAAAAGTTTAGGTGCGATAGTGACATATTTTTAAGTTCTTCAGTCAGTAAAATGAAAAGTTTAAAAAAAAAAAAGAAACGACTCAGCTAAAAGCAAAATTAAGAGTAGAATATATTCTTAATATTTACCTAAACAATTTTACGGAATTTGAAAATTTGACATCGATATTCTGTGCATATTATTCAAGTCATTTTTAAATACTACATGGTTGTGATTTGCGCATTCAATGTCTGAACATTGCAAAAGAAATGATTAAATTTATCTTTAATGAAGCTAAGAGTTCTCATAAACTAAGAAGCCAAGAAAAATAAAAATGAGCTTAACTAAAAAAATGTATAAATAAATTTATATTTCATTAGAGAAAGTAAATAAAGATCAAATTGTTAGTAATGATTTATTTACTACTAACCTGTATTACGGGTTGCTTACTGCTAGTATATATATATATATATATATATATATATATATATATATATATATATATATATATATATATATATATATATATATATATATATATATATATATATATATATATATATATATATATAATATATATATATATATATATATATATATATATATATATATA